ATACAGAAAAGCACGTGATACCTGAATAGTTTCATACGCATACAGCCACAATGTGAACAAAATAATTATCAGATCCTTTTCGAGATCGATAAATCACAAACGCGATGGTTTGAATATAAGATCAAGATGCCAGAGTAGAGAATCGTCATGCGCAGTCCCTTGGCCAAAGCCACGTGGTAGGTGACCAAAGGGGTAACGAACAACAAATGGCTTAATTATACTGAGCACGTGCCAGCAGGCGACTTATTGTATTGTTACGTCAAAAGGCCATACGAATTAGTGAGGTTTCGTTAAAATAATTAATCAATGAAAGAATTAGTGCGTACTGATTGAATGATTGAATATGTGAAAGATAGAATGACTAGGATCAATAATGAAAGATGAGTGAATGAGTAAATGAATGAAAGAATGCAGGAATATATCCACCGTATAGAATTTCCATAAATGATATGAAACGCAACCTCGTAAAACAGGGTCCGAGAAAAGAGTTTACCATCGAAATCGACATAATGGTTCCCCTTTCTTCATCACTAACATCGTCAGAACTGAAATCAATTCACGTGATTACATTCGTATCATATATTTAAAGGACAATCATATCCATGTCAAACATTAATTATTATAATCGTATAAATATCATATCACATAATCATATCCGAGTCGCCTTTCCGGATTCGTATTGCCGTCTTTCTTCTAGTCTTCTGGAAACTCCTTGAAGCAAAACAATGCACCAAGGAACTACAATACGTGCAATGCGTGGATGTCAAATATAAACAAGTTCCGACACTAGCTAATATATCTCGATCTATAGCCATATACCTTATGGCGTTCACAATACGCATATCAATAATCAAAACCACATAATTCAGCTAGATGAAAGGGACGATGCAAAAATCCAGCTTTGGGCGAGTCAAGAGCCTATTAACAGATGATACCATTTTTTCGAACTGAAAAGCATGTAGGCAAAAAACTGAGAAACAAACTATTAAACTAACTAAACACACCAT